TTAAGTATTGGCCGACTTTCTATTTTTCCTGTGGAAATTTCTGGATCTCAAATTGATTTATTTTTTGCTGCTTTGTATGTTTCTGGACTGCCACCATCCTGACATCAATTGTTGGATGCTTAGTAAATGCAAAGTAAACAACAGGATTTTATTTAATTTGCACTGTACTCTACCATTCTCTCACGTCTCTTTACCTCATCCACAAAACTTTATGAGATAAAGAACACTGTTGCTTTCTCCACCTCCCAGACAGGGAAAGCATGAAGGTTTGCGAGCTAACCACGGCTGATAGGCTGTGCCCTACATTTTAAAATCCAGGTCTTGAGAATCTCCCTGAAGTATTTTGTAAGTATAATACAAGTAGAGTTATAAGTAAGTTTTATTTGGGAACCTAAACCTTTTACCAAAGAAAACTGAAATGCATTCTGAACATAAATGAAAATAATTTATAACTCATTCTTTTGATTATCGATAATGCTGTTTACCTATGCTGTTATGTATAATAAATGATTTTAAAGAATGAAAATCTGGAAAAGATGCTGGGAAAACTATGGTCAATTTTTTACAAGTCCAGTACCTAACTAACAGACACCTCTTTTCATTTAGATTTACCTCAAAAAAAGGCGTAAGGATACAGTTTCACATTGGCCTGAATGAAAACCTGAGAGTAACATGAGGTGACATCCAAAACTGAAACAAAGTACTCTCCAAGTGTTAGCTGAAGAAAAATTAATCCAGGAGGAACCAAAATATCCAAATTTAACACCTTTAGGACATAGCTGCAGATGTGGCTTTAAGTTTAGGCAAACTGGAGAGTGGACCCACTGTGTATTATACTAGATGCTAAAAAGCCACAATATAAGCTAGATTTCCTTTGAGATGGCATATCGATTATTTTTAATATAAATACCCTTGAGGAAGCTGACTTACTGAATCCTTTTCTCAGACTTCCCCACTATAGTATAATTCAGCTGTTTTCCTCCAACCAATAGATGAATTGAACTTTTATGGTAGGAATTTTGCTTTCAAGAAGGGAGAGAGGAATTTAGGACACAGGAGTGGACATAGAAGGAGGTTAAGAAAGCTCAGACTCTCTTAGCCAGCAGAAACCCCAAGGCCTTAAGGATTGAGGGGGTGGAGGGGGCACCACACAGAGCTGGGAGCACGAGGGCAGGTTTTCACGGATTGTATTATATAACTTTTTGCTGAACACGTGTCCTGGCACCTAAGGTTGTACCAAAAATCCTAAAGCTCTATCAGATAATTCAAAGTACAGGGTATGTTTCCCTTGCTCTCTTACCTCGTCTCACCCCCTCTTAAAACTCACCTTGCATTCTACCAGCAAATGACTTTCTCTTCTTCCAAAATGCCGTAGAACTTTGTAACACTTCTCTTTAATCATACCTCCTTTTCAACACTTCCTTGCCTTGGAAGAACTCTTCCGGGCTATTGTATGCTGTTTAAACTGTGTATTTAATTTCATAGCAATAAGAGCCTTCAAGGTTTTTCCTACCAAGTTAATATTTTAAAAGTCTGCATAGATTTATGGATGTTGCTCATAATTGATTATGCGGCTTCCTTTGACAAAGAAGGCATTTCAGGGCTCCAAACTGAATATCGGTTCCTGCTCTCCTATCTGCCCGGACAAGGAAACACCAAAACGAGCAATCGCAATCATGCATATTATTAAAAACAAGACAACAGCCCCCAAAATGCAGTCGCTTATGCCAAGGCGCACGGCGGCCCCCTGCCTGAGCGTCAGCAGGGCTCCGGCGCCCCCAGCGGACCCCCCCAGAGGCTGCCCGCCCCCAGGCCCGCCGCCCCCGGAGCCCCCATCCACCTGCCGGGTGGGACGCCCCCCATTCGAACGGACTTCCCCTCGAATAAACCCCTGAGCCGACGCCGAGCGGCCGCGCGACGGTACCTGGGCCGCCCGGGACCCTCCTGGCGGCTCGGCGGCCCCTGCGCCGGGGCTTCCGGGCTCCCCCCCACCCCCACCCCCACCCCCACCCCGGGCGCGTCCTCCTCCGTGGAGGCCCGGAAGCGGCGCAGCCGGACTGCGGCCCCTTAGGGCGGCCGGGGGTGGGGGGTGCCCGGGGCTGACACGCAGGAGGGCCTCCCCGGGGACCAGCCTGAGCACCCGGGCCGCTGGGGCCACGTGACCCCGGGGCGCCTCTCCATCCAGGGGCCGCAGAGAGAAGGGGGCCCAGCCACGCACGTGCCACAGCTGGTTCCGAGGCCCAAGCTGAGACCCGCCCACGGGGACCCCCACCGCCCCGAGCCCGCAGACGGGGTCCCAGAACACTGGCAGAGCCCGCGAAGGGTGAGCGTGCGGTCAGCGCCCCCGCATCTCCCCCAGGGGTGCCTGGTCCGCCGGGGAGGGTAAAGCTGACACCGTCCCTTCCAAATTCAGACTGGCAGGGGACAGACGTCTCCAAGAATCAGGTCTGTCGACTGTGACTCGGGAACTTGCTTTCAGGGACCCACTGATGGCGGATCCTCTCTCTCCCGGGGCAGCTGCTACCTTCTAGTTCGCCTGTTTTGAGTCCTGAGATCTTGGTTTGTCTCGTTTCCCTCCCCAAAATATGGCCGTACAGAAATGTGGGTTGCACCACATTTGCAACCGGGTGTTACCAACTGCTTCCAGTTCTCAGGGAAACTGATTCTTTCTTTCTTTTGGTTATCTTTGTTGGTGATTCTGGATCTTGGGAGGGGTAGTATCTTTTGCACCTCTTTGGGGACACCTCTCCATCCAAGGGGTTGTTCTATACTGCCAGAAATATTTACTGTTTATCCTGGCTGACACTGGACAAGATACTCAAAAGTTGTTTGTTTTAATGGAACTCTATGATCAGAAGTTTGCGAAATTGGAAGCTGATAATCAAAGCCTGATAGGAATATTTTTAGGCCTTGTCCGCTAAGCTAACATGAAACTATATACCCAGACGGAAAGAACATTCTGAAGCCTCTGGGGAAGACTTACCGTGGGTCTGGGGAAAGGAAGTCCTGGAGCAAAATACTTCTAAAAACTGAAATCAGTCAAAGGGAGGAATAAAATTTAAAACCCGTTTATTGCTTACAAAACTGCAGTGCGGCCCGGCCCATCTCTCTCTCCTGCTCCAGCAGCAGCAACACCGGCCCCTCCCCTCACCTCTCAGGTTCAGATAAGCCCTCCTGGCCCAGGTAATTACCCATTGATACAGAGATGAACTCTCCACCCCTGAGGAAAGATGCAAGTGCACTAAAGTCATACTTCTTTCCAATTCTGAACACCAGTTGATATGCAGATGTAATAAAGGCAGGAGAGATATTCTGGAAATATTACAATTTTACCCACACTTACTAAAACACTGCCAAAATACCCAGTTCTGAACTAGAACGTCGGAATATTTTGATTTCCATCTTAGCTGAGTATCTCGCTTATATAAAGATGCAAATTGAGGATAGTGTAGTTGGATGGATGGGTCAGTATCCTGGTATCATTCACAATGAGCCCAATTCTTTGAGGAAGTACAACTGTACTTTTCTTACAAATTGAGTATTTATAAGAACAGAAACGTAGCTCTAGAAACAATTCAAAGCCCACCTAGCCTTCTCACCAATCCCAAAAATTCTGGTTCATCTCAAAAAACTTGAGCTATTATAAAAGATCTGGACGTAGAGAACAAAAGTCCTTGGTGGGACTTTAATTCTTTCCCAGTAATTCTTAGTAGAAGGAGGGAGGAAAAAGGCTATTTTGGAAACAAGGACTATGAGAAATCTTGAAAGTTTAACAAATATTAGTAAAAACCTATCTGAACAGGTAACCTTAATTTATTACATGTTCCAGAAACACAGCTTAAACCCAACTGTTCTTTATGAACCAGTGAGTTGTGCATCTTTAGACCTGTCTCATTGCTAAAATGTTAAAATAAAATCTGTAAGATCTCTGCATCTGTGTTTAAAAATTATTAGGTATGTTATACATCTGATTTTTTTAACCTCCAAATGGTATTTGTAAAAATAAATTTGTAAAAAGCTTTTTAATTGGCTTAAAATCAGACAACCATTACAAAAAATCAAGTATACTTGGAGAAATATAGAAACTTAGCCAAATGTTTTTCAGCGTCATTGTTATCTTGGTCAATCTTTCAGTAAATAAAAGCTGGTTTAAGTTTTTAAGTAAATAAAAGTTGTTTTTACTATAATAGGCATATTTTTACATTTATCAGCACTAAATACAATACTTTTATTCTATAGAGGTTTACTGAAAGTCAAATAGCTCATGTTATCTCTACTACATAATTTGTCAGCAAGGATAACAAGATGCTTTTTAACATCTCATGAAATTTTCATGAGTAATCTAAATATAATTAAGAACAAGTTAAATAGATGTAAAAGTTGACAGAACTTTGAAGCAATAATTATATTTTATAGCATGTCTACTTAAAAACTTTCCAAAACCTTTAACATGAATCAGTTTATCTTTTAAAAATGTAAAGTCTCCATTCTCCCTGTATTCAAACATTCATGTAGCCCTTCATTGTGTCAAGTACAAGGTAAAATTCATTGAGAAAGGAACAGAGCTCGCCTGGGCTGTGCAGGGGGTTAGTCCTTTCCTTTCACTCAGGGACTCACAACAGGCAGGACATCTTACACACCGAGCACGGTGCACTGACACCCACTAACCGTCCCAGATCTCCCGGGACAGAAATCCCTGAGTATATTCGGAGTTTGCCAAACTTACTAACTTTTAAATAAAAGTTTAAGTTGTAAAGAGTTCCTAGAATTGCATCCAGTGACATAATTTCATATTAATTTTCCAATACAAAGCCCAATCTGCCTTTAATCACGCAGAACCCAACAACCCGGTTGACTGCTTAGAAGCTCAAACGCTTCTCGGCCGCGAGCGACCGCACACAGAGATCGGGAACCTCCCGCGGCCCCTGGGAGAACACGTCTCGCGAGAGTTGAGGGAGCCCGGACCGCGCCCCAGTGGAGCAGCGAGGGGGTGGTGGGCGGGGCGCTGGCAGCCGGTGCCCGCGGCCGCGACCTTTCTCGCGCCGGTCCGCCCGGCGCAGCCATGGCGCGCGGGCCGAGCCTCCTGGCGCTCCTCGCGCCGCTCTTTCTCGGCCCCGCGCTGGTGCGCAGCGCCGGCCCTCTGCCGCTGGTGCTCAACACATGGCCTTTTAGGAACGCGACCGAAGCAGGTGCGGGGCGGCGGCTGGGGCGGGCCGGGGCCGCGGGCGGCCCGCCCTGCGGGGCCCCGACACGGCCCCAGGGGTGGCCTCAGACCCTTCTCCCCGGACTGAGGCTCTCGCAGAGCTTTGGGGGCGGAATTGGCTCCAGAATTTGGTGGCGCTAAATCCGTGTGTTACGCAGACAGTGCCTCCGATTCAGGCAAAATCAGTCAATTCCTGGTGGTAATAAGACGCAGGAGAAATGCAGCGTTCGGGGCAGGGGACCGGTGCTGTGTATGCTGCTTATAGGACGAGGGGAACTTACTGAAATATACTTAAAAGCACCACCGAGGAGCTGTGTGACCTTGAGCAAGTTACTCAGCCTCAGGCTTGTTTCCTATTTAAAATGTGGACAGTAACTGTACAGTACTTACCTAAAGAGCTACTGTGAAGTTTAAATGAATGAATTCATGTGAAGTCCACGTTGTAATTATTTGCTGTTACGTTGTTATTGAGACTTGCAGTGGTTTTAGCTCAAAGTATGTATATTTTTAATCTAAAGATGCAGAAGAAATTTATATGACTTAATGAGTTCATTTTAACTTGTTTACTAGCTTCAGTTGTGACTTTTAAAATTGAAAGGAGTATTTTTCCACACGCACACACTAGAAAAAGTATTAACAAGTGAAAAAACTCACTTTGCATTAATACCCAAAGTCTTTGAATTCTTCACAGTAAATAGTTGCGTTATATAATTTAGTCTTTGATAAAACTAAAAGTTAAGCTTTAGAGTAAGTGCAAAAAATTTTCTTAATACAAGTTTTCGAAAATGTGCCTGGTTTGTTGAATTTGGCATTAAAAAAAAATTCGGTATGTAAACAAGCACTCCTGGGGATTTGATGAACAGCGTGGAGGACCCTGGCGTCCGGAGGCTCCCCGCTGGACGCGGTGGAGCGGGGCTGCGCGGAGTGCGAGAGGCAGCAGTGCGACGGCACCGTGGGCTTTGGAGGGAGCCCCGACGAGCTGGGAGAGACCACCCTGGACGCCATGATCATGGATGGGTGAGCGCTCCCCAGGCCCTAGTTCCCGCGGCACCTGCGCTTCATGCTGACACGCTCTTAGCTGATTATAGTCTTTCACCGACAGCAACAAGGACACACAAAAGTTTGGTCACAGTCCAGACTCCTAGCTTCCTGTGCTCGGCCTTTCCAAACACAAGGACTTTCCCTCTCGCCCCAAACCATGAGAACAGAGGTAACACGTGGAATTATGTAGTCTCTTTAAAACAGGGAGAACCACAAGCTACAAATACACGTTTCTGACCTGGTACGCAGTTTCTACCTTCCATCCACAAATGCTGTAGTTTGCCAGATATGACACCTTAAAACTTAAAAAAAAAACCGTATTTTAAAATAAGCCGGGAAAAACAGAGACTTTTGGTGTTGTTGGAGTATATGGTAAATTGAATATCCATCTGTTCCTTCAGTTTCTCATTGTGGGAATTTATATGGACTTGACAGATGTGCTGTCTCTTCTCTGTAAGATGGTAGCAGTTTAATCCTACAAAATGCTATTGCTTGGAGCACAACAGTATGTTTTTAATCTATGAACCTATGAAAGTGCCCTAAGAAATCTTACTGGGCTTTTATTCCTGCAGCACTACTATGAACGTAGGAGCAGTAGGAGATCTCAGACGAATTAAAAATGCTATTGGGGTGGCACGAAAAGTGCTGGAACATACAACACACACTCTTCTAGCAGGAGAGTCAGGTATATTTTCATTTATCTAGTCTTTGTCTCTATTCTTCACTGTGAAAAAGGACTCATAAAATAGTGGATTAAAGCCGACCTAAGTTCAAATTCCAGCTATTTTCTTAATAATACATTTCATTTGGATAAGTTGCTTAATTTCTAAATTCTCACTTGACTTCATCTTTAAAATAGGATTTAAAAATTACCTAATAAACTAAAGAAAGGAGATGGGAGGGTTTCAGCAGATCAGATTTAAGGAGGACATATGGAAACAGATCTAGAAACTGATGCCCTTGACACTGTTCGTGTCTGGATCCTCCTTTGAAAGTCTTTGTGTACCCCTGGGGGGTTGTACCCCTCTTAGAAACAGCCAGCTGAGAACACTTCCTACATATATATGTTATTTAGGAGACAATACTTCACTAATTTATGTTTCTCTTTTCTTCCCAATCTCCAGCCACCATGTTTGCCGAGAGTATGGGGTTTATCAATGAAGATTTATCTACTGATATTTCTCGAGCTCTTCATTCAAATTGGCTTACTCAGAATTGTCAGCCAAATTATTGGAGGGTATATATACATAATTTTTTAAGTGAATTATTTTGAAAATAGTAAGTGACATCCCTTCTGCTTTCTGGCCTAAGATGTGGGGTAGCACCCTAATTGTGCTTTAAAACCAACGATTTAGGTTGACTCTAGGCATAGGTGTTACTGAAGTCTCCTTAGCTGCATCTAATGCATGTCCACAGGGGAAAGCAACTGGTCCCTGGCAACAGTTTGCAAGCTGTGAACATTGTGCTCTGGTAAATGCAGGCTGCCTCATCAGAACTGCTCTGCCTGTATTTCCTTACAAAAAAGTTCCAAGTCTAAAAAAGTCACAGGAAACCATTAAACTAAAATATTTCATAGATTTTATCTATGTGCTGTATACCCAGTATCCTGCCCTTATTTGGAGGATTTATCCTATTAGGCGTCTTCTGTGCTACTAATGGGATAATGTCTTTAAATCAATGGGACTTTTAGTATGATTCGGTTTGTCTTTGCCATCTAGAGCCCTTCTGTGGACTATTTTAGTCTCTTCCCTGTTTCTGCCCCAAATCCTAATTACCTCTGAGGAACCAGGGAGTCTTAGGTCAGTGCTGGAACCCAAGGCTACCGAACGAACCAGGCTGGGCAGTTACTCGCGCACAAACGAGTAACACAGAACGAGCAGCTTTCTTGGTTTAATACTAATCCACCTAGATGACTCAACGGTATGAATTTGAATGCTTTTCCTGAGTCTTTAGATTAATAAAGGAATCTGAGTACAGCTTAGAATATGTTCACATGAACCTACCTTTGAAAAAAAAAAAAAAAAAAAAGATAGTTTTAAATTTCAGAATTATTCTTCTTTGGCCAGGGAAGAAATTCTGAAATTTAAAGGCCAGGTTGTATACTTAATGCCTTTGAGGATTAATGTCTAATAAAAATCTTCATTTAAAGAGAAAAACTGACAATCTTTTCCAGACAATGCAGATGTCTACTCCCTATCATGTAATTCTGAGACTAGACTAGGTATTTAGTAAAATTATATCCATCTGTTCACATAAGACTTAACTAATTTTTGGCCTTAAATTCTTATCTTTCAGTTACCAGATGTCCTTTTAGTTTCTTACTAATGTTTAGTGATTGTACATAACTACTTGCTGATTTCTAAAATCACCCTTTCTAAAAAATTAAACTTAAATCTTGTTTACAGAATGTTATACCAGATCCTTCAAAACACTGTGGACCCTACAAACCGCCTAGTATCTTAAAGCAAGATGGCTCTACCAATAAAGAAACAGGAAATAAATATGGCCATGATACTATTGGTAATGCTCTTTATACAGTTTTTATGGTTACAGTTCAGTCATTTATTTGTAATTGCCTTCCTGTAGTTAACTTTTTCATCCCAATTCATGTAGCAGGAGGTGATTCTGATTGCTTTAACTTCCAAGACACACACGTTTTTCATAGCATCTGTACAACACTTTGGTAAATTACCTCATACGAGTCCCCTAAAATCTAATGACTGCTGACTTGTAGATTTTTAAATCTTTATTGATACTTAGTTTTATACTTAATTTTAATGTAGTTTGCCACATTCAAGTGATCATTCAACTGATCATCCCAGGCTATAATGTTGAAAGTTTCCATTTGTCTGCACCAGTGCATTTCTTTGGAATTACCTTTGAAAAGCCATTGAAAAATAACTAAGCAATTTGAAGAGTGAAGATACAGGAAGTCTACCACATCATACTATGTAGCCAGGTCACTAAAAAGCACAAATCACACCACTGGTGTAATTTTCAATATTCCCAAGTTTCCTATTTTCTTCTACCTGAAATTACTGAAAGAGGATACTTATATTACCAACTGCTCAATTATTTAGTTATATTTGGGGTAAACTTTAGAGTTGATACCTACAATGATATATTTTTTTTAACTTCTAGGCATGGTTGTAATCCATAAGATGGGACATACTGCTGCTGGTACATCTACAAATGGTATAAAATTCAAAATACATGGGTTAGTGTTTCTAAAAGAACAGATCTCACAAATATGTATTGACTAAACCAGCATATGTTACGTGCTATGGTGACTCAAAATGCAAACCACAGCCTTACCCTCACTCACAGCTGAGATCAAGAAATGTGAGAGAAAATAAATTAGCATCTGCCAGGTGCCAAAGGAGAGGGCATCTCCAGCGACGCTGTAGCGTTCAGGGATGGCTGTGATGGTCTGGGGAGGCAGGGGTGGGCAGCTGCGGAGCCAGCAGAGAGATGCAGAGGGGGGCCCGAGCCTTAGGGAGGGAAGGGGATACCCCACAGAGGCACGGCACACCCACGGTTCATGGAAACTGTCTCACACAGTGTAATGATTTCTGAATAGAAAGCACTTAAGATTCATTACAAGGAAAAATGGTGAAGTTTTGGCACATTAGATAGAAAGGAGGAATCGATTATAGGAGAGGAAAGGCAGTTGAATCTGTTGAGATAATCCAGAAGTTAAATGATAAGGGATAGTAATAATAGTCACTAAATCTGTACCATCTGGGTATATCACCAGCGGCTGTCTAATTCTTATGTAACAAATGTACATTTGTGGAAAGTAAGTTGAAAAACTAATGAAAATATGTTTTACTCTGTGTTCTGATGATGAACTTAAGACAGTAATTGTTGGCTAAGTAGAAATATCCTCTATTGTTGAAGCATCTTATAAAGCATTTTAGTGTCTACACTTGACCTGTCCTAAAACACACTCTGCCCTCACAAAGCCGAATAGGAGATTCCCCTATACCTGGAGCTGGGGCCTATGCTGACGACGCTGCAGGGGCGGCCGCAGCCACCGGGGATGGCGACGTCCTGATGCGCTTTCTGCCAAGGTGTGACTGTGCCTTATGACCTTTAGAGATCCCTAGACAAGCTATTGTCTGTCAGAATAGGAGGAACTGCCGTATAATCCGAATTTGTGTGTACAAGAGTTATTTCGAAATGCTGCTTATAGGCACTTTACCTATCATTTTGATGGTAACAATTTAATCATAGTCATCTGAAAATAGAATGATGTTTCTCACTCTGCTTCACAGAGGATAATACTTACATCCACTTAAATGATTTATGTAAGGCCATTGAGTAAAGGATCTGTGATAATTGATGATGAAAATAGGAGAGGCAATCACTGTGTACAGCTAAGTACTGAAAGGTAATCATTACGACTAGATGTTTACACATGCCCAGTATGCTCCCCATTGATTGTAGCCCCATTTCTTATCTAAATATAATCTCTCCAGTTTATGACTTCCAGCTGTTAGTACTGAGTACATTATTCAGTGAATGCCAAAAGAGTCCTTTTCTCATATTAATGGGTAGGTTAATTGAAAAGAGACATTGTATCAAGGTTTCCCTGCTTCGTGTTGCTGCTTTCACAGGACTTACTGGCATTTATGTATTCTGTCAAATGCAAAAGTTTTGATAGTTAAAACTAACTTGAGTAACCAAATTTGGAGAGTGTTTATTCTGTGATGTGCTAAGGTTTTTTGCCTCTTTAAATCAGCTACCAGGCTGTAGAATATATGAGAGGAGGAGAAGATCCAACCATCGCTTGCCAAAAAGTGATCTCAAGAATTAAGCAGCATTTTCCAAGCTTCTTTGGGGCTGTTGTATGTGCCAATGTGACTGGAAGTTATGGTAAGTGTTCCTTGGAATTCCTATCTGTGTGAATTTGTAAGTGTTGATGAAAACATACACCATAAAATAGTATAGTGTATTTTATTACTGTTCAATAGGAGTAGAGACTCTATGACAGAGTAGGCACTGGGTCCATGTTAGCTGTTGATTTGTTAGGGCCCCCAAAGTGTTAAAAATATACCTTGGGTTGAGGGCTGGTAGTTACAGTCGGGTCTTTAGCTCTTAATCCTTCTCCTTGGCATCTGTCCTAAGTCTGCCTTTGGCTCCAGTGCTTGCTGAGATGGGCCAGTGCACTCAGATGCGTTTATTAGAAGCAGACAGGGATAAATTATCTCCCCTACTTCTTTTCCATCCATTATTTAAATGTCTTAGTTATTTAGATCTTCTTGGGACTCTAAGGTAAAAAAACGATTACTAATTAGTTAACCAAAGAGATTAGCAGAATTATTTTAGCACTTCCTTTGTTTCATTTACTTTGTTTCATTTACTTTCTCAAGGAGCCTATCACAATTTCAAAGCATTTCAAGATCAACCATTACTGCCTCTCATTAGTGTATTTCCAGATGGGGAAGATACACAGCTTACTGATCAATAGGACTTATTAGGTCAGACTGCTTATTATTGTTCTTTGATCTTTTACTTCTCACAGTCCTATATTTAAAACACTTGTTTGAGGAATTCCTTCTCCTTTTTTAAGTACTAAGACACAGAATTCAACAGAAGTTATTTGGGGAAAGGGCTTTATGTAAAAAATGTAGTCAGTTTCATTGATTACCTCTTAGAAAAATAAACCTTGAAAGGCTCAAAGTTGGATTCAACAGGATAGATATGATAATTATATAATCATAGATGAATTTTAAATTGACTAGTTCCTTATATTAAAAGTAATGGCATTAAAAGAGGCCCTTCCTGGGGTTGGAACGAGCAGAAACCCACTGTCGTACACAGGCAGGACCCAGAACCGCCAAGCTGAAGCGGGTGAGACAGCTTCCAGACAAGTGGCTCCTCTATGAGAGCAGAAGAATAGGGAGGAACACGGAGCATGGGGAGGGGGGGCAGATTACATGGAGGGGTGATGGGAACGTTCTAGAAGCCAGAGAAATAAAATCTGGAGCATGTGCCTGAAACTTTTTTGTGCTAAGAATGGGATATGAAAACAGTAAAATAATTGTGGCAATGAAAGCATGTGTATAGAGCAAAAAAATCAGCCTCCATTCTGAGATTCAAAGATATGGCCTCTCCACTGTCTTCTGGTGGTGACCCCCTGACCCACACCAAGGAAGACGGCTCAGGGTCCTTCCGTGTGGCGTGGCTGGACAGCAGCTGCCATCAGCCAGTGTCGCGGCGAATGCGCCAGGTATGAACTGGCTGTAGTGTGTGCATTCGATATTTGACCAAATACCTTTCTCTTTTCTTGGCCCCAGGTGCTGCTTGCAATAAACTGCCAACATTTACTCAGTTTACTTTCATGGTTTATAATTCTCTAAAAAATGAGCCAACTGAGGAAAAAGTAGACTGCATCTAAGCCATCTTTTCTGTCAGCATCTTTACTTAAAGAAGAAAGAAACAAAGACTGAAAAGGTTACTATCATCGTGCAATGTGCCTCATGTATTCTAACTTCTTGGCGTAAAATAAGCAAAATAATCAGTTGTGCTGAAGTAGCGCTTTGATGTTCCATATCTGAATTTTTTTTATTATCTTCACTTAAGTCTTATATATCCCCTAAAAATGAATGTATTTTGCATATGTTTAAATTTTAAATGATACTTAGATTTATGCTCAATGTTTCAATAAACTGCTACTTTGGGGATTTATTTCCATAGTGACATATTACCCTCCCCCACCCCCCATAAAAAGAAAATCATGGATATTTGGATACTTAAAAGAATCAGAGTATCCAAACTTTTTAGACCCAAAGACAGACATAATGGGTCACAGCAGGATTAGTCCTGGCTGTCAGGCAGTTCCTCCCGGGGATGTGTGTCCTATCACTGGCGGTCAGTTTTGTGTAATGCTCCCCACAAGCTTGATGAAGGGCGGCTGCTGCTGTTTTGCACAGGTCAGTCAGCGTGGGCAATCTTCTGATGAGCAGTTGTGTTGGTTTTCCTTGGTTTTCTCCCCCTAATGGAACTCTCATTGTATGAGGGTTCTTTTGCCTCAAAAATCTCTGGTCCTTTAGTATTGATAGTTTTCTCTGAAAATGATTTAGGGAACTTGATCAATACTGTGGTTTTACTCACCTCATGTGCAGAGGCTGGTGGTTGCAGCTAGAAATAAGGCAGCAAAATGCCGCCTACCGTGGTGATATTTTCTGGAGCGCTTGGTCATCTGCCTGATACCTAGCGTCTCGTGTGCTTTCTCAGCATTTCCTTCAGAATCTTAACCTTCTACACCAGGAATCATTAATAAACATAAACACTATTGCCCTCAAGCTTCAGTTTGTCTGCTGGGTTCCTCCTCTCATCTTACTATGAAATGTTCTGTATAACTGAGGGCAAAGAAGCTAGGTGCCGGTGCCGAGAACCATTTAGGTCCCTATCCTCGGGCCCCACCATGAGTCATCACTATCTGGGGGGCCCCTTCACAGCTGCCCTGTGCTCCAGCCCACCCAATCATATTCTTCGCAAGTGAGATCTGAAATCTGGGAATAGCAGCTGCTAATGGTAGCGTGAAAGCTAATAGGAAATAATCCGATAGCTTCATACTCAACAGAACAGGAGAGAAAATCTTAATTTTCGAGAGTTCATTCCCATGAGGTATGTGGACTTGCCTGAAACGGATCCTGGGCCTTGGGGTAAGGGAAAGGGAGCTGCACTTCCATCTGAGTACATATCGGGATGGACGCCCTGCCCGTGTGTGTGCTGTCCATGAACGCCTTCAGCCGCCGTGTGCCACCAGGAAAATGAAATTGAGACTCTTCGTGGCCTGTCATTCCCCAGCGGTGTGCCTTACAAAAACACCCCACACGTGTTACCAAAAGGTATTATCTCTGAAATAACTTGCATTCTTCCTGATGGAAATACTTTCCCTACGTATCTAATGTGGAAAGACAGAATGTGCTTTGGAAATACATTTTTAAAGCTCTAGATTTGAATGTAATATTAAATGCTGCAGATGTATTGTCCTTTCTTGTGAAAAGTCAGAAGTGATTTTTCGTCCTCCCCGGCCGTGATGTGCGCAGAGGGAGCTCATCTGTGTGATGGTGATGTTTGCTGTCAGTGTCCCCCGGCGCAGGGGAGACGGCCAGGAAACCCGTGACGCAGCACGTTCTCCCAAGTGGTTGTTAGCCAATCACAGATTGAACTTAGAAATGGCTCACTAAAATTTGGTAAAAGCAAAAAAACTGGAAATGAAACCTTGGAAACACTGATCGTTATCGAATTGTCTGTGGTAAACAGCAGTTGGTTTGCTTCAGTCCTGCGCAGCCTGCACAGCTCTCAGCTAGGAGCAAAGGTGAGAGACAGGGATGCAACACTTCATTTCCCATTCTGGTTTTTCCCTTTGACCCTATAGAAAATATCCCATGACCTGCCTACTATAATATAGACAAAATTAAGTTGTTCTAGCAACATGGATTAATCAACTTGAACAGATTCTGAGGTCATTAATACTATCAACTGGATTTTAACAGGTCAAGCTTTCTATACTGCATAAACATAGATGTATGTAGACCCAGTGCTGCCACCTGCTTCCGTTCTCACCTCCTCAGGTCATGCCCTCCATCTCCTGCAACATTTCTGGTGGATGAAGGAGTTTAGCAGGCTTTAACTGAGCATTATCTTAACTCAGTTAGCAATTATAAAAAGGGAGTGATTTTGGTATCAGCAATATCAAAATGGCTTGCTCATTACCCCCAGAAACTGCAGACTTCACTCAAGTGTTTGGTATTTTTAACACAGTGGTAAAAGAGGAAAGCCTTTACCACAAGTACGTAATAAAAGATTTTGGTAATTTTATGCTCATCATTTGTCTGCTTTGATTAAAACCTGGAATAAAATTTTCCAGATGAGTTATTTAACTGTATTTAAATAGGCCAACAATGACTTTTCTAGGTTGAGTCTTACTTCTGCAAGCCACAGTGTAAACTGTGAAGTCCCTGAGGCATGTTCACCAGACATCTCCAGCTCTGGCCACCTGCACATGGTAGGGCTGCCCTTGCCAGCACCCTTGTGATGCGGGGGAGCCACGTGACCGGTTCTAGAGAGGAGATTCAATCTGAAGAGTGGAACCGTCCTGAACTTCCATCTCGGGTGTGGCTACATAGCGTGGCTGCCCCATGAGCCCGAGTCCGCGAACGACCGTGCGTGCCTGTAGTGGTGTGTGACGGGCACTCACACATGCAGTAAGCCTTTGCTGTCTGACCCAGCATAAACTACCCTATCCTGACATATAAATTATGCCTAAATAGCTAGAAGTTTCGTGGCAGTTACTAAACTGATGACAAATGAACTCTCCAAAGGACGACAGTAATTTAAAAACAGACAAGGACACCTGGAAAGATACTGGTTAGAAATTAATAAAAAAGCTGAAGTTATTACTGGGTAGGAAAGTAATGAATGACTTTTTCTTAAGAATTACCGTGTTATAATCAGAGGCATATACATATTCTGTTTGATTCTCACTACAACAGTCTGGAAAAGACAAAACTATAGTGACAGTAAAAAATCAGTAGTTGCCAGGGATTAGGGAGGATGGAGAGATGAACGGGTGGAGCGCGGGGTTTCTGGGGCAGTGAGGAGGCTATGACACTGCCCTAAAACGATGGATACATCATTATACTTTTGTCCAAACCCACTGAGTGTACAACACCAAGAGTGACCCTAATGTGAACTACAGACTTTGGATGGTAAATGTGTATCGATGTAGATGCAATGATTTTAACAAAAGCACTATCTACTAGAGCTGTCCGAAGTAGGGGAAGCCATGCGTATGTTCAGGCTGCTGTATTAATGAACTTTCTATATTTAATGCTCAATTTTTCTAAAAATAAAACTATTCTTAAAAATGCAGTCTGAAAGGGAAAAAGGCATATATTATTTCTTAGGGAAGCGAAGCTCAAGTATTAGAGATCTTACTTACATTTAAATATGTGCTAGATTATCACATAATAGCCTGTGTTGACTGAGGACTCAATGATACTCGGCACTTTAAAGTGTATTACCTCATTTTAGTCTATCAAAAGCCAACGAGGAGGCCACCACTGTGCCCCGACTTCAGATGTTTTACGGTGGCAGTGCAATCCTGTCAGGTGTGCATGCTGCTTTTCGCTCTGGACTATGTTTTCAAGGTTGTTTCTGTAGCCAAAGCCTTGCACACTGAGCTTGTGTGTCCGCCTGGGCAAGAGTCTGTTTGTTTGCTGTCCAGGATAATAACGATGATCGCTTCCCTTGAGGCTAAGGTTAGGTAGGTGGGTTTGGTGCAGCGGCTGAGAGGATTCGCCTTTCCCAAGTTGAGGTTCCTCGGCTGCAGTGACTCCGTGCGCGCTATCCCTGAGCCCCACTCTCTGTCCCCAGGGGACCACACAGGCCCCGAATGGGAGGATGCACTGCCTGCTCTGCTGCGAGCGAGCCCCTTGTCTGACCCAGGTCTCCCTGGTCTTCCGCTGGCTTCTGTGAAACTGGCAGGCTAACCTGTTAGCTGGCAGGTAGGGTAAAATCTCTGACTCTTCACAACTCTTGACACTATCAACAGTAATTAGTAAGAAATCCCTGATTTTGTTATTCACTGTCTCTTGAATGTTTGGGGTAAAACGTGTAGACCTGAAGTAAGTCAAGATTACAACAAAGACTGCAGTTCTACCAGGACAAACCCTCAAGAATGAAGACCGAGGACCACCCTCTGAGGTTGTTCACACAATGAACACTGAATTAATTGCAATAAAATTTCAAAAAGATAGCCTATCCTATCCAGGAACACTATCTAAAACACCTAACTATTACCTCATTGCTTCAAATAAAATAGACAGCAACATTATAGTTCAGATTCTACCAGCTGCACTACTAAACAGTGTACGCCAAGGGATGGCTATAGATTTCCCAAAAAAGATGCCTCCCCTGTTCAGACTCTTCTTACTAGCTCTTGACTTACTCTCACAGGCTGCTGACCTGAAGTTGTTAGAAATAGACATGCATGCTCCATACAAATAAATAAAAAATCAGGTCTAATCCAATACCAGCCCTCATTAAGCAATTCCTTTTGGTTTCAGAAGGTAAATAATAGGCATAATGTATTTTTAATTTAGAAATCATACACAGCCTATAATTTAATTTTAGAGTCCATAAGTTTTAATTGTTGAACTTCTTTTTAAAATGTCATTACATCTCATGCTTGGTGACTGAATCTGGAGCTAAGGACATAACATAATTGAACTCATCTAGCATCTCAATAGTTTAATTAAATTCATTTGA